TTGATGACATATTTTCTTGACATATCAACCATTCAAAAATCTTCAGCCAATATTTTATTCAGAAAAATCACAGTTTAAAATTCCTTGTGGCTGAATGAAATAACGTCAAACACACAGCACGTTTCCTGACATAGACATCATTAGATGCTGCCATAGACACGAGTAGATGCTGAAACAGTGTGCAAGGTATCTCTATGCAATCAGTTTATCCAGAAGGATTTGTTTCCTTTTTGTTTCTCAGCATTTTCAAGGCATGCTACTTTTGTTGTTGTTGTTATTTTATTTTGTCTGGAGCTCGCAGTCGACTGTTACATTTGCTTACCCATGGGCATACTTTTAAGAATTGACTTGGGGCATGCTCACTGTTCTCCATGGTACTATTGAAGTCTCCTTTTTGTGTGAAAGGCTTAATGACATATATGTTAGATTAAGCCCCTAGTCAATGTCCCAGTGTTTAGACAACATTCATCTATATTTGTCTGGAGTGGAATGCCCTCCTCTCCTGTATCCCATTTTCCGTCAGTTAATGAGTTCGCACTATGATAATGCAATGCACCCAAGCCTCTTCTTGATATGCTGCCATTAGGACTTTTGCAACTTCATTCATTGCCCCAGGCCTGTGATTTGTGGTATTAACCAAGGAATATTTCAACAGCATCATTTTCTGTTTCTAACTAAATCAACCAGTTAATCAATACAAAAACAGAACACTTGGCTTTTCATGTTTTCTAGGAGGTTCAGTTCATAAATGGATGGGGACAAGAGTATGAAGGGAATAGATTACCTTCTTAGCTGCAGGCAGATGGCATTTTTTTGCCAATTTCAAACATGTGCTTTAACTTAGGGTTATTGATAAAAAGATAGTTTTTTCATTCTCTTAGAAGATAGGTGACTGATAATTATGGACTTTTTCAATACAGAACAGATTTCACATGAGCCCCTTTTGACTTGGCTGTTGTAAAGAAATTAGGGCTAAGCTTAAAATGTTACCATATTTACAACATTTTTTCATATTTACAATCTTATTATTTAAAGTTACCATATGTAAAACAGTTGACTAATATTGAGAAACCCAGAAAACTTTGTGAGTAAAAATATATTAATTGACTTTGATAAATAACTATAATTATACAACTTTGCCTTACTCACATGGTGAGAAAATTTCTTTCTTAATGGGTCCTGAATGGCCAGGCACATATGTATGCAGCTTGATATGTTAGATACAGGGGTGGTTAGCATCCCGAATTCTGTGGAGGAGGGCCTTGCAAGATTCCATCATGGTACTCAGAGAGCTGATCAAGCTAAAAATATTAACAATTTTTCTTTGTGATGTTCCATTTATCTTGGCTGTAGATAATGGAAACCATGGAAACTGAAAGCAATGTTAAGAAGGGACTGCTGTTTCTTAGTTTGTGCTAAAAAGATAGATCATAACAAAATGTGCATATAAGTCATATAAATAAGACCTTCTAACAGTATTCTCTCAATTTAGATATAACACTTTCCATTTTTTCTGCTGGATTGGAGCAACTAATTATATCCAATATTAAATTTTCATTGCAGTAATAGATAACATTCACTGAGTGTTTATACTTTGCTAGAAAACATTTTTAGCTCACTGCATGCTGATCTTTCATTTTGTGATCACATTAATACTATATAGAGCATAGCATCATGTTTTATTTATATAAGCATTGAATTTATAAGAGCTAAATACCTTTTCCAAGTTACAAAGATATTTACATGAGTTTATATGATTAGTCAACACAATTCAGCCTCAGTCATTATTTATATTATATTTGGTCTTTGCGAGTAACTGACTCCAACTTCCTCCAGATCCAGGTGTTGGCAAAGCATCTCTGAATTACTCCCACCGGTATTGCATAGCTACTCAAACACAAATCACAGTTTTCTCTGTGTGTGTACATTGAGCCCAAATAAAAGATGTATTGAAAGATCAGGCCATTGACAATTAAGAACCGCTGATGGTATAATAATTTGTCATTATCTGGAGTGTTCCAAACCCACTTTTGTCTTTTTACTCTGTTAGTAGGAATGATTTGCATTTTATTAAGATCTAATAATGTTCTCTGCCTTTCCTCCTGTTTGAGGACGGGCAAGTGCAATCAAGCTAACTGGTGAAAAGAGTAACAGCCACAGCAGAGCAGCAGTCAGAAAAGCACTGCACTCCACTTGCAAGTTGAAAACACACCACAATAATCATGGTATCATGACATGTCTGACCCCTGTCTTTTGTCTTTGCCCATTTTATTTTTCCTATTTAGAATCTATTCTCTCTCCTCTTTTCCCCATCCTCTCCTTATTCTTCATGGCCAAGGTATTCCAGTCATTTGAGATACTTCCAAACCTAAAACCTTATAATAATCTATATTTTTATCACAAACTAAGAAACAGTAGTCTCTTCTTGCCATTGCTTTCAGTTTCCATTATCTACAGCCAAGATAAATGGAACATAAAAAGAAAAATTATTAACATTTTTAACTTGTGCAGCTCTTCTGAGTAGCGTGATAGAATCTTGCATTGCCCGGCTCCATACAAGTCAGGATGCTAACCACCCCTATGTCCAGCATATCATGCTACATACATATGTGGCTGGCCCTCTGGGGCCCATTAATCTGGTAGGAGCTGCCTTGCTTTTCGGGACAGCAGTCATAGCAGTCACTGCTTGTGTTTATTTTATTTTGCATCATTCCCAGGGTACGAAAGAGTAGCAATGCTGTCAATCAATTTTATTGCAGTATTTTGTTATGATTGCTCCATGTTCTGTTATTAATTACTTTGATCCTATTATACATTAATCATGAATTAAACTTTATTGAAGTTGTGTAAATGTATGAGAAAAATCTGCTGGCAGTGTTGAAATGCACTAAAGGCAGATAGGAGAATGATTACAATTAAATATTTAGTGTGCTTACTTTGCCTTTTCTACTAGGTTACAAATTCTCAGAGATCAATGTACATTTGTCACATATACTAGTTATAGTCATACTAGCCGATAGAAAATGATAAGCATAATTGTATGTTTAATTACTTATTGAAACTTAGCAAGTAAGATATTTTGAGGAATCACAGACATTGAAAACCAAAAGCTACTCTCAATACTTAACCTACCCACTTTATTTTACTTGAAGCCCGAAGGTACTGAGCCTTGAGTCAAACAAATCCTTATTTTTGGATGCCTAAATTATTAAGAGAAAGCACACTTAGAAAACAGAGGAAGAGAAGCTACACTTTCTAAATAGTTTAGAAAAGTAGGCCAATGATTGAAGCTGCATGGCTATAGTAATCTGCTGTACTGGGGTGAGGGGCTCTAGTAAGTAAGCACAATTTCTCATTGAAGGAAAAAGACTCATCCCACCAACCTATCTCTTTAACACAGCTTAAGGGGATCCCACCTTCCTAAAGTGGGTGGTTCCTTGGTCAGGTGATTGACCCACCTCAAGTAGAATGTTAGGTTTCTTTCTACTGAGACCAGATTTTTCCTCCTCCTCCTCCTCCTCCTCCTCTTCCTCCTCCTCCTCCTCCTCCTCTTCCTCCTCCTCCTCCTCCTCCTCTCCCTCCTCCTCCTCCTCTTCCTCCTCCTCCTCTTCCTCCTCCTCCTCTTCCTCCTCCTTCTTCTTCTTCTTCTTCTTCTTCTTCTTCTTCTTCTTCTTCCTCCCCCCCTCTCCCCCTCTTTCTCCCTATTTTAGTTTTTTTGAGACAGGGTTTCTCTGTATAGCCCTGGCTGTCCTAGAACTTGCTCTATAGACTAGGCTGGCTTTGAACTCACAGAGATCCCCCTGCCTCTGCCTCCTGAGTTCTGCGATTAAAGGTGTGTGGGCCTTTATTGCTACTCTAACATATATGAGTGAGGGTCAACTTAATAGTAATAATAGTAACAATGTTTTTTTTCCCCCTTCCTTCCTTCCTTCCTTCCTTCCTTCCTTCCTTCCTTCCTTCCTTCCTTCCTCCCTCTCTCTCTCCCTCCATTTTCCCTTCCTCCTTTTATTCTTTCTTCCTTCTCAGTGTGTACATGTGCATATGAGAAAACATGGCAGTGTTAGGGTTGCAATCCCGTTTGCATGCTGAGCCTGTGTTCCACTAACTTATCCACGTCCCTTTATATATGTGCTTTATTTAGCTTTGTATGGATATTGCACAGTACCAAACTATTGTAGCTGAGTTTGTCTCAATTGTATTAAGAATACATGTGCCAGAGTCTGAGGAGATAGCTCCCACTGGGTAGGAGCACTTGATGTCCAAGCAAAAGACCTACTTTCTGGTCCCCAGCACCCATGTAAAAAGTGAGGTATGGCTGCGCAGACCTGGAATCCCAGCATGACGAGGAGTGGAGACAGGGGGATCACTGGGGCTTGCTGGTTCCAGGTTAGTGAAAGATCAGTGTCAAAGGAATAAGGCAAACGATGATGGAGTGCATACATGCACATGCATCATACACACAAGAACATTGACTTGAAAATCATTTTCTTAGTGTACTGTTAGTGCAACACTCTCAGCACTTGCAGGGCTATCCAAGTGCAAGAAATGGAGGGCATGATTTCCAAAAGCAGAAAAAAAAACTGTCAAGTTTGAACTATAAAGGAACTTCTGCTTTTAAAATTTTCATCAGTAATTAAAGTTGATTATTATTTCACAACATCCTTTCTCTTATCAAATACCAGAAGAAAAATTAATGTTATTAATTTACTGTTTTCTCTAAAATTCTCTACGATGCTACATCAAGGAAAAGAAGATGCCATTTAACACAAAAATTATGCAGTCACAAAGTTTGAAATCCCCAAAGTGACAATACTTAGACTGCTAATGCCCACAGGGGCCAAGTGCCTTAGCCTGCCCTGGTGGAAGCCCCTGGCTCCACTCCACCCCTACTCTCGCCTATAAAACCCTTTTCCTGTGAGCTGTGGGACTGAATTTCTTCCCTCAGTCATCAAACTTTAATCTTTGTTAAGTCTTGGTATTTGCCTCTGCAAGGGTCCTACCTGGTTTAGTCAATCCTTCATTCCATTGTCTCCAAGTCTTCTAACATCTTTGTGCTTTCCATGAATCCCATTAGCCCCTTCTGTTTTTTTTTTAACATCCGGTGTTACAGAAGGAGGGAGTAGAGCGTGTTATTGGTTGTTGTTGCTTTGTTTCTATACGTCCAAGCTCAGCAGAACTTCTGTCATGCTTTGCTCTATGAAAGTTTTAAAAGCTGGCCAGCTAATCCTTCCCAGTCCTGCTTGGCATCCCATCACCTCCCCTCCCCCCAGTCTTTGGAGAAATCTAAATGTCTTTTGTATAGGCAAACCCTCTCATTCACAAAAGCCCTGTTGTAAGATGTTGATGTCAGTCTTATCTAAAAATAAAACTGTGTTCCACAGGTCCTCCCACACCCTACCACCAAACCTCTTTCTTCTCCTTTTTCAAAAGCCAAACTCTTTAGAAGGAGTCTTCATTCTTATTGTTTTTTCTCCTCACACACAATCCGGCTGTGTCTGACTTTTGATGAGCCACCATAAAGCAAATCCTTTCTCCTTTCTGGAAACAGATGTTTGCAGGTGTTACAGGACACAGACCAGAGCCTTTGGCAAGTTATCTAACTCTAAGCTCAATGTGCTCTTTAGGCCTCTACTTGCCTTCACAGGCCATCTCATAGCCCCTCTCCCTTGCTCTTTGTCCCCATCCCCCTTCTTCTAGAAGCCATTTGCTTTTGTGTTTCTCAGCCATCCTCCAACTGCAGATGCCCAGTGAAATACTGCTTCCACTGGGAAATCATCCCTTGAGCTACCATATGAGGTCATCTCCTTCCTTCATAGGATTTATCTTCATTTGTAACTTTAAATTTTTGCAAATGTTTAACTTCTGTCTCTGCAGAATAATTTGTAAATGAACTTTTATCTCATCTCTTCTCAATTCTCATTACATTACTCATACCCAGTCCTCTATCAGGTGCCTACTGGGGTCTCAACAATATCTGTTGAGTGAATACATCCAGTTTCAGTAGAATATGGAGGATCCTGCAGTAATGTGTGGATTCTGTTTGGAACATTGCTGCGTGGCTGTCCTCAGTGTGTAGAACATCGTTCAGACTGTGTGACTTTAAAGTCAAATATTGCTGCCCAATCTCCTTTGCTTAAAGTTATTTAACCTTCCTAGTACTGGAGAAGGAAAATGTCAGGAAATAAAGTATTTTCTTGTAGATGCTAGATCCCAGTAGCTCCTTGATTGGCCCAGAGAGACATCCTTACTCTCCACCAAGGTTATTCCCTGAGTCAAAACAAGCAATCCCTGGAAGCTGGCTCAAAGGGAGGAAAGAGTACTTGTTTTGTAAACACTTTCCCAGGAGATCAAGGCAATTATCCATCATTATTTGGCAAACAGGGTCAATTAAAGGCATTCACATGTAAAATATCCCTTCACAAAACCACTCTCAGCCCCGTGACAGTCTTGGAGAAAGTGACAGTAAGGAAAAGAAAAAACTTTAGATCCTTGAGCAAGAACAGTTGCTGGCACTTTCTGTGTTCTCAAGTAATTTACTTATAAGTCCTATAAACATGATTGCCACATGTTTACAACAAATACATTTAATACTTCCACAAATGACTTTAATTACTATCTAGACTATAGAGACGAGAAAGTGGGATAAAACGATAAGAGAAAAACTGCTGTGCTATTTTCTTTGGTCTTTGGAGTTTTCATTATTACAGGAATGTAGTTACCTCTTTCAACTGTGTGGTGATTAAATTACTATGTTTCTTTTGCTAAAAGTTTACTGGTTGTTTTCTAAACTGTGAAAATTTATAAATGCATATTAATAAAATAATAAAAATTGGGATTATTCCAACAAAAACAGTTGCAGAAAGCAGTTTGTTTCTTTCCCTCTGTACAGAAGAGGACTGTAGTTCAAGGTATATTCACTTCCCATATTTATTACTTCAGTGGAAGTATTGTCTTCAGTGGGGATTTTTGGTGAGTGGGGGTGGTGTGTGCCCTCACATGCTCTCTCTCTCTCCTCTCTTTCTGTTTTTTTTTTTGATACATGACCTTTCACAGTAAACTATTTTGGCATAGAATTGCCGTGTTGCCCAAGCTCACCTCAAATTTGAGGCTGGCCTCCTGCCTTGTCTCTGAAAGACTAGGGGGAATATCACTAGGAGTCAGCATGCTCATCTTTAGTTTTTAAAAGGAAAAAATATGCTTACACAGTAGAAACTACAATTTGGTCTGAGGCTGTAGTTCAGTGGCAGAGTGCTCGCCCAGTGTATTACAGATGAATTAATAGAAACAATCCATTAAAATTTTCATTCTCTTCCCACTGGCTGCCACGATTTATTTATTTATTTATTTGTTTTTCCTTTTATTGGAAATAGATTTTTTTGCTCACGTAATATTTCCTCTCCCTCTGCTCCTCCCAGTTTCTCGCCACTTCCCCTTCCATTTGGATCCACCCCTTTCTGTCTCTCATTAGAAAACATGTTGCCATGATTTACTGTGTCTACTAAGTTTTTGTGTTCTTCAAAGGTATGAGAAAATAATTTCTTTAGCAAATTTATTGCTTTTCTTTATTTTTAAAACTTAAAGTGCACTTGGGAGGCAAAGGCAGTCAGATATCTGTGAGTTCGAGGCCAGTCTGGTCTACAGAGCAAGTTCCAGGACAGTCAAGACTACACAGAGAAACCCTGAATGGAATCCTCCTTCCCTCCTCCATCAAACAAAACAAAAACTTAAAGTGAAACATTTTAGTAAGTCACATATATGTGTAAACATAAATGCACTTGCACACAGAAAATACACCATAAAAGTCAACAAACTACATCCTTTTTCAGTTACAGCTTCAATACCAATGATATCATGACGATATTTATTTTGAAAACAGTAAATAAAAACTGAAAAACTAATTGTGATAAAGCTTAGGTTTCCAGTACTCCTTCCTGTTTCTGAGCTTTGCCTTTTCGTTCTCCTTCCTGGTCCCTTAAATCTTGCAAAATCAGAATCCTCCAAGATTTTTCTTGACAAGACTTTTCTACAGAAAGTGTGTTTAAAATGTGAATTGGTTATTTGCTTTATTATGTTTTCCTACAAATAATTTTCACAAATTAATCAGACATACACTATATACAATATTATAGAATAAGAAATTATCTGAAACATTCCGGAACTTAAAAAGTCACTTAAGATGACAGATAAAGTGATGAGATTTACTCTTATCAGGTGTCCTCTGCCCCTGAATAGGTGGTAAGTTTTGACGAGACATTCCTTGTGATAAATCTTCAATGCTTCACAGGCACTCATTTTCCCTATTTTATAGGAACACATACAGTATTAGAATGTCTAAAATGATGAAAGCACACACATACACACATCCTACACATACACACACACAAACACACACCATACCACACATATACACACACCACACACACACTGCACACACCACACTATACACACACGTATACACACCCCTGCACATATGCACATACATCTTAAATAGCACAAGTAAGAACATTAAAAACATATCAAATTATTCCCAAGTTCTCAACCTCAAGGAAAGCCAATAGACATTCTTTTAAACATAACTTTTGCAGGTTTTTCCTGCTTTGAATTGTTTACCTTGCATCTCTTTACACCAGTTTTTCTGGAGCTAATAACCTCCCTTTATTTTCACACCACATTATCAAACACCTACAATTTCACTGGTGTTCCTCTATCTAGGAATGGATGAAGCCACCAAAAGCAAGAGTTGATAGTACAATGCAGACTCAGACTCCTTTCAGTGTGTTGTGACAAAATGTGGAAGACTTTTCTTTCCTTAATAATACTACTAACCTCATGCAGGGAGAGAGAGAGAGAGAGAGAGAGAGAGAGAGAGAGAGAGAGAGAGAGAATGAGAACAAGGCAGAGACAAGTGGGCATTACTATTTATTACTGATTTTTTTGGGGGGAGTTCTAGACAGGGTTTCTCTGTGGCTTTGGAGGCTGTCCTGGAACTCTCTCTGTAGACCAGGCTGGCTTTACTCACAGAGATCCGCCTGCCTCTGCCTCCTGAGGCTGGATTAAAGGTGTGCATCACCACTGCCTGGCTTATTACTGATCTCAAAGGAGAGGGCTAATATGTATTTTTAATGGTACCAACAGAGAAAGCCAGAAGCAGGTAGGTTATGTACAAGCAACAAAGTCATTTGATTAGAAACATGACTGAGACACAACTCTCATCAGCATTAGTTTTGAATGTCTTAAATCCCACTATCACCGATGGCCCACGAAGTTTAATTAACAAAAGCTGAGAGCTGGCACTGTTAAATATTCATATATAATTTGACTCAACATTACAATCTTCTAAGTGTGTCCAGTTACAGAGTAAACCAAGATTCATTGTTTCTGCTTTAGGGAGAGACTGCCACGGCGCAGGCAGCATTTGCCAGGTACTGTGGTCCGTCGGTGATTGTGGAGGTTAGCACCTGGGATCCCACGTGGGACTCAGGATGCCTGTGCTGTTCTTGTCTTACAACTGAGAAGCCTGCAGGCCTGAGTGCTAGCAAACATCACTGCAGGTGTCCAGAACAGCCTTCTACACGGAATCCCTACCCTCTGCCATGCTGCTCGCTTCTAGCGTTTGCCTGCTTACCCCCCCCCCCCGCCCCTAAACACCACATAGCGTTTTCCAGTCACAGTCACCATTAAAATATCGCTTAGATAGTGTTTATCTTTTGCTTCTTTTCATCTATTTCCTTTTGGGATTGCCATTGTTTGTAGCTCAGACAGACGTTTGTCAAGGAAACTGTGCGAGGAAGACAGACACGTAGCTGGCGACACGAGCTACAATTGTAGCTATAGAAATGTATCGACTGAAGCGGCAGTCATTTCGAAACAACTGCGACAGATATTCAGTATATTGTGGTTATGTTTATTTGCTTTTCAGAAACAACAAAAGACATTTAAAAAAGATAAAGGGAAGAAGAAGAGACTTACCAGGTATATTCAGAAATACTCAGTAGCTAAAAACCAATTCTATAGATTTGTGTGTGCTGAGTTTATAAATGGGACATCATTTTCTTTCTCTTTTAAGATATTTGAATGTTTACAAGCAGGTTTTATTTTCTGTTTTGACTTTCTCTCCTGGAAAACTATCTGGGTGTGCAGGCTTTTCACTAGATGACTTGACTGAAAGTGTGGCTGTTGGGGAAGGTGCATCTGTTTCTTCGGGATAGTTTTTATTTTGGTTGGAACACACTATGGGAAGATTCCCA